TTTTTTTTCCAACTATTTAAGTTAGTCTGATAAAAGATATCAGATTCACCCAAAGAACCTTGTCTGTCTTTATTATGTAAGGTTTTTTGCAAACATTTTGCAAACATAAGGGTTTGATTTGCCAGTGGTGTAATTCAGTCTTCAGTAATTCAATCATTTACCATTTTTGTCATCCTTAACTTGATATTTTTGGTTTTGTTTTTAGAACAACAATATTCAAGAGATGCATGAAGATACTTTCTGCAAAATGAAAGATGTTACTTATGTCCGTAGGGCTCTAGAAGACATCAGACTGGATGGTAATCCCATCAATTTGAGCAAGACCCCTTATGCTTATATGTGTCTACCCCGTTTACCAATTGGTAGTCTCATCTAAGCTTAGACAGTGACCAAAACTCATTTTCTATGATACGCTCCACAAAAAGTGAACAAGTCATTGCTACATACAGCACAACACATAATTTTCAAAGCTTATTATTTTGTAAAGACACGTTTATTGATAATTAGAATTGTAAAAGGTAAATCCATTGTTTATTGAACAATATAATGTACAATACTATAAACAATATATTAATTATAAGATTGCTTTGAATATATAGATAGCAACTATCAGGAAAAGAGATCTGAAATGTGTAGATTTGATATTGGAACAGGCAGCTGTAGTGGGGGAGCTCTAAAGCTAGGTAATTTTATATAAATTAAAATTAATTATTTACACAATAAGAACAAATATATACTTGTACATAAATGTCCACATCTTTTTTTATTTAATTGAATATTATACAAACCTTTGTTTTCTTCTCTATAGCACACTTTTGTTTTGTAAAAATTACAGTAATAAAAATATGTTCTCATTGGAAATACATTGAGCCTTTCTTTACAGCAAAAATAAATATAGAGAACAAACTTACAAGTAAATAAGTGTACATAAATTTCTTATCAATATCTTTGTAGTAATAATTGGACTTCATAGAGTTTATGATAGAGAGTTCCCCCACATCCATCTTAGCAAAGCTAGCCACACATTTAAGAGCAAGACACTGATGATCTTACAGGTCCCTTCTGGTTCTATGTTTCTACGATTCTATAATAAAGAAAATCCATTGTTAAATGGCCTATTCAGAAACAATGAAGATTACATGAACTTGTGTAAGTGATAGCCTACTCTATTAAATGCCGTGAATAGACCATCTGATGAAGCAGGTTTTCCCTATGAAAGTTTATGACTTTCTGAATTAGTTTCTAATGTGCTGCCCTGCCTTCTGTCTGACTTCTGAATAACACTAACTCTAGCCAGACTTTGGTGATTCTCTCATACTTGAGAAAAAAAGTCTCCCCCCAACCTCCCCATCATCTAAAAGATGGAGCTTTAATCCTTTCTATTTGGCAAAATAATGGTAAAAACGTCCTGGTGGATATTATAGGAACATAGAATTATAAGGGGCTTCCTGGGCCATTAGGTCCAGTCCTCAGCACTTGCAGGCAATCATTTACTCGTGGATCCTCCCAAAATTGACATTTCAAACCCTCATCCACACTTCAAAGCCTCACATACAACTACAAGTCCCAAAACCAGAAGTACCAAGAACACCCTATGGGCACATCCCAACATGCAGAGGCGTACATTTCCAGGGGCACAAAAAGCAGTGGCACATGCATGTGCCACTGCTTTGTGCCCCAGGGCATGCCCCTGCATGTGCATTCCGGTGTATGCCAAATTGTCCTGGGTGGGATAGAGAAGGCTGGGGCCAGCAGCCTTACTTGAGGTCCTGGTGACTTCCTGGGCCAGCAGTGACTCCGATCTGGCCATATGGAGCCTGGCTAGCAGCCACAGCATGGCTCTGGATGGCCAGGCTCCATTTCTGGTGGTGCATACTGCTGAGACATGTGCTGTGGCGCTTTTTGTGGTGGGATGTTCTTTTGGGGGTGGTGGGGGGTGGGGAAGGTTGAGGGTTTTTTGTGGCTTTTTTTGGCAGTTGCATGTTTGCCATGTGCGGATTTCGGTGCCTTAAAAGTTTTGAGACACTACAAGCTGCATGCGCATGTTCATCTGGACATGCTGTACCAGTGTAAAGGAGGGTGAGACAGAGAAGCTGCCAATGCAGTGACAGAAAAAATAACTGTTTAATGTCAGAGCAGCTGACACTGTAAAGGGAAAGTGAGAAAAGTGACTGATTTTTTTTGGATATGGTTATTACAAAAAAGTCTTCAGTAGTAGGGGAAACAAAAGAAAAATAGAGAGATTTCCAGCTACAAAAACTGCAATTCTTCTATAGCATGAACATTCCTCTCAGTTTAATAGAATATGTGCATCCAGACAAGACTAATGCATTTTTTGCAGGCACAGGCAATGGAAAGTCTGTACACAGAGACTTTGCTTCTCTTTCACTTCATATTCACTCCGATTTCCTAGAGTGGACGGAGACAGCAAATCTGTACATTACATGAATTCTAAAGTGTGAAAGAAAATCAATGTCAGAGAACAACACCAGTCTACATCTACTGCTGTGCCATTACTTTTGAAATCACTCTCATAAAAAAAAAATATATTAATGATAGGATTATGATTTAATGTAGCCTCCATTTGCAGTTAATTCTTTGTTACATATTTCAGTCTTTCCTAGACCTAGTAAAGCAAAGTTTTGTTTTTAATTCCTCTCCATGGACATGGGTTGTTCCCCCCCTTAATTGTTGTTAGCATCAGGCATTCTATGCTCAGCTTTGCTCTCTCTCTCTCTCTCACAGGGCCCTGATGTCTCAGACAATAAATAGGGGGTCAAGAGTTTATAACTCTGTTGAAGTATTGACTCATTGCTTTAGATCATAAAATCTCAGCCAACTGGACTATGTTTGGCAGGCCAAGGGTGACAAACAGATGTGCTGTACGTGTTAAATGATGCAGACTCCATAATGGCTTGTTCTGCAGCTATTCTATCTACCCTTGGGAGTCACCTCATCCATCCGCTCATGTCATGCAGTATTCACGCTATAGTCAAGATATATGTAAATTGTCAGTCAATGGTTCTAACTCAAGTTAGGAATAAATATAACTTAATATTCTTTTTATCTGCATGACATTCAATTAGGATTTCTGACATGGGTGGCAGAGGCCAAATTATATTGGTATGATACAATATTTCACAACAATGTTGTTTAAAAAAAGAACTCCATCCTTCCTGCTAACAATGGTTCTGAAGGAAACCATGTGTTTGGATTAAGGAACAGTCCAAAGGAAAGGGAACAGAAACAGGGGGAAGGGAAAGAACTGGAATAGACATGCATTACTTATTCATAAAACAAAACGGAGGGATGTCCATCTCCGAGGTGAAATCTAATTGTAATAATAACTTATATTAACCACAAAAAGTCTTTCTATATGTGAATCCAGTTTTTCCACTTGAAGTTCTGAATCCTGTACATAAGGATCCTGCAATTTCAACATATTCTTTCTTCTGTAATAGTGTTACAAATAAATGCACTCTGTGACATAAATGACTAACTCTTGGCACTAAGTCAGACAACAAATTTTACTGCATAATATCCTTCAGACCTCAGATTTCATAGACATTAGGGCTGGAAGGGACCTTGGAAGATCATCAAGTCCAGACCCCTGCCCCAGGGGCAGTAAGTCACCAGGGGGTCACAGGATCCCAGCAAGATAAACATCCAATTATTTTTTAAAGGCGTTCAGAGTAGGTGCTTGAACCACCTCCGATGGCAGGCTATTCCAGACCTTCGGGGCTCAGACACTAAAGAAATTCTTCCTTATGTCCAGCCTGAAGTGCTATTGCAGGAGTTTATAACCGTTTGACCTTGTCATCCCTTGGGAGACTCTGGTGAACAATCATTCCCCCAGATCCTGGCACCCCTGATAAACTTATAGGTGGCCATCAGGTCGCCCCTGAGCCTGTGCTTTTCCAGGCTGAAGAGCCCCATAATCCTCTCATCATAAGGTCTGTTTTCCTGACCTCTGATCATACGCATGGCTCTTCTCTGGACTCTCTCAAGATTCTCCATGTCCTTTTTGAATTGTGGAGCCCAAAACTGGACGCAGTACTCCAGCTGCAGCCTCACCAAGGCTGAGTACAACGGAAGAATGACGTCCTGGGATTTGCTTGAGAAACATCTATGGATGCAAGCCAGTTTTGCTCACTTTACTAGTCACAGCATCACATTGAAGACTCATATTCATCTTGTGGTCAATCATGACCCCTGAAGTCCCTTTCATCCGTAGTGCTAACCAGTATAGCACTGCCAAACTTATAAGGATGCTGCAGGTATTTCCTCCCAAGGTGGAGAACCTTGCATTTTTTGGTATTAAACACCATCAGGTTCTCATCCACCCATTTCCTGAGCCTGTCAAGGTCAGCCTAGATCACCCTCCTATCCTCAGGTGTGGATGCTTTACCCCAAAGTTTGGTATCATCGGCGACTAGGCCAGTCTGCTTCTGACTCCAATGTCCACATCATTAATGAAGATGTTGAACAATATAGGCCCAAGGACAGAGCCTTGGGGGACCCCACTGGTCACAGGGCACCATGACAATTGTCTTCAGTCAACCACCACCTTCTGGATTTGGGAAGCAACTTGATCCCTGGAAGAAGATTCTAGTTACTATAGCTCTCACACAACCATCACTCATATTGACTAATGCCTGTGTGGTAAAAATAGATTTAACAAAAATCTTATTTTTAATTTCCGTTTATAAGTGCAATAGATTCAACATTGAAGCAATTTGGGAAGGTGTAGATTTACTGTCTGCTGGTATCTTCAAGTTAGTGGATTGTCTTTTTTTAACAGCAGTTGGTTGAAGTTAACAGAAGTCTTTACTGTCTTTCATGGGCTTTGCATCTGACACTAAGACAGGCATGAAATGTCATGGGAGGTCTCTTGTTTATAGAAGAACCAGGGCATTTCCCAAACTACACTGCAAATGCAGCTTGACCTTGAAGAGAGCTAATTTATGTGGGTAAAAAGGTAATTCTGTTCTCATAAATAAGAAAATAATCTTAATAATCAATAGGTGTTGTTTACTTATTAAGTTCTGACATCTTTTAGCATCTTTTGGAACATAGCATCGTTGGTAGTGTTCACTTTAACTGGAACTAGATATTCACTCCTTGCACTTAAGTAAATAAATGTCAGATAGTGACTTCTTTTTGTTTGTGTCATTGCTGAGTTGGATCATATTGAACTTATGCCTTAGTGATGTAAGATTATCCTTTTATCAGTTCCTTGAAGAATGGAGGGGCTAGGAGTTGATTCAGAAAGACCTGCCTGCAATGGGACTTGAGTGGAATTTAAGCATCTAAATCCAAAGCCGAGGTCCTGAAAACCCCATTCAGCTACTTCTTCACTTTAATATCCATGGGCATCTGAGCTGTTGACCTTAAAGTTCCATAGTGGTGTCTGAAAAGATATACTCCTGTATGCATGCTGAAGCCTAGTAGTTCTGATAGGGCTGAGCAGCTATCACATGCCTACACTCATTTGAGATTCAGAAACAAGGTGTTCCTCCATTTAGGAACCATAGGGGCTTGATCCACAAAGCCATAGCACTGGGACCCCTAAAAAAACCCCCAAAAAACTCCCCTCCACCCAACAATACCCACTTTGTTCTAACCATGGCCTTGTGATTTAGAGCATGTCCACGGTTGTGGTACATCCAA